CTGTATAAAAATGTTTTAAGATGATAAATAATGTGATCATACAGCCAAACATTTAACCAAAACACAAACACAGTACTAGGAAACCAACAATGTTAATATATGTAATAAGTTTCAGTCCAAAATAATGTACATACAATATAAAACAAGATGTGTTTGTGAAACACTGATGCCCTTGTATGGCAACATAGTTAAGATTAAACATCAATACCATAACTGGTCAAATTTATACTGAAACATTTTAGGAACCGTAATGTCCCGAGTATTGGCCACACCTTTTTTCGTCAGAAAATTAATAAAAGTAGGGGTGCGCTCAATACACAGGAACAAAATTCAACCCCTTTTTTTCAGGTCACTTTCTAAGTACCAAGGACCATTTTCCTGATCCATTTGAATTGCTTACTCTTTGTAACCAATTACGTCAAAGTTAATCTAATTTCAGAAGGTTATATACCTAAGCCCTATTGTAGAAATATACATATACCCTAAGTATTGAAAGAAAGAAAACCGTTTCATAAATAAAATTCTGATGAAAAACGATCTTTGTTTGTTTTATTTCCATTGCGTATCATACAACTGTTGAACAACTGTTGCTTACATCATTAAGGAACCGCATGTCGCTTAAAACATAGATATATTTAATTTATACATATAAATGAGTCAACAACTATAATCTTTTTTGATGTTTTCTGAATTATTCTTAATTCTTTAACTTATATTTCATTTTTATTTTTTTTAATTTAAAATATGTAACTAGAGGTACAAATCATTCGGGATTCTATTGCCGCGTCATTGCTATACCTTTAATTTCAGTTTATGTTGTCACATAGGACATGACCATTGTTTATAGAACAATTGTCACCTCAACACCTGCGTTATTAAAACACTAGCCTATATTTCAGTGAAGCACATAAACGTATTTGTAAATCTACACTATATACCTGAGGATGCTTCCATATAAATATGATCAATTATGGCTTTGTTATTCTTGAGAAGAAGATTTTTAAAGAATTTTCCTATATATTTCTATGTAAAACTTTGTAGGCCATTGGTTTTTTATTTGAACAAACTTGAATCTACACTACCTGAGGAGCTTCCATATAAATATGATCAATGATGGCTTTGTTATTCTTGAGAAGAAGATTTTTAAAGAATTTTCCTATATATTACTATGTAAAACTTTGGTCCGCCATTGTGGCCCCGCCCTACCCCCGGGGGTCATGATTTGAACAAATTTGAATCTACACTTCCTGAGGATGCTTCCCCATAAGTTTCATCTTTCCTGGCCCAGTGGTTCTTGAGAAGAAGATTTTTAAAATATACCACCAAATTTTCATTATTCCCAATATTCCCCTATGTAAAGGGCGTGGCCCTTCATTTGAATAAACTTGAATCCCCTACACCTAAGGATGCTTTGTAGCAAGTTTGGTTGAAATTGGCCCAGTGGTTCTTGAGAAGAAGATGAAAATGTGAAAAGTTTACAACGACAACGACGAAGACGACAGACAACGGACAAATTGTGATCAGAAAAGCTCACTTGAGTCTTTGGCTCAGGTGAGCTAAAAAATGTTCTCTAAATTTAATTTTCCTATGTTAAACTTTGATACTCCATTGTGGCCCCATTTCTACCACTGGGGGTCATCATTTGAATAAACTTGAATCTACACTACCCTTGGGCCTTGGATGAGTTTCATGAGTTTCATCTTTCCAATCCCAGTAGTTCTTGAGAAGAAGATTTTTAAAAGATGTCATACATTTTTCACTAATTCATTATTATCTCCCATAGGAAAGAGATGTGACGCTTCATTTGAACAAATTTGATTCCCTGAAGCACACTTAGTGGTTAGTTTGGTTGAAATTGGCCCAGTGATTCTTGAGAAGAAGATGAAAATGTGAAAAGTTTACAACGATGACAACAACGATGACAAAGACAGTCAACGGACAAATTTTGATCAGAAAAGCTCACTTGAGACTTTGGCTCAGGTGAGCTAAAATTTGAGCCATTTTCTTTTTGTGAATTTGTAACTTTCACAATGATATCCCCATTAAAAACAGCTCTATGGTATTTCTATATATTTCATTTTGTTCTCCCTGCCCCATGTGGGTTTTGATTTTAAAAAATTAAGAAACATCCTGCAAAAGTGGGGCCTTACAAAAAAAATTAAATGATGTCATTTAGACTGTACCTCACCCTTATTATACCCCCCGCTTGAAATATTCGTTAATTCCGTCCGTCTGTATTTCCGTCCGTCCGTCCGTCTGTCCTGTCCGTCCGTCTGTTACGCTTTGGGGTACCTATCTCTTATCCGCAACTCCTCTCATACCACTGAAAAATTTGATGAAACTTTCACAGAATCTTTATTACATATTGCCATTGTGCACCTCCTATTTTACTTTTAACACATATTTTGAGTTTCCCGGCCACAGCAAAACATGGACTTTGCCATTATACATGTTACTATATGGAGGCGGGGGGTATCATTTAGTGAGCTCATTGCTCACAGTACCTCTAGTTTTAACTTTTTTTTAATTTTTTTCACTAGAAAGATGCCTGGCCTTTCTTTGAACTTACAATGAAGCGCATTGAAGTGGTAAAATTTTCCATTTGGATGAAACGTTCTGATTCATGTTTTGAACGTCAATCATAGCAGAATGGCACGCCTATTTCTTTAGAAACGAACAAGAAATATTCGTCATACACCCCACTCTTTGCGACAAGCAACATGAGTTACACCGATATGGAGATTTTTAAAGTTATAGAAGAGATTTAGAGAGTTCCAGCTTCTGTAAAACACGTATTGGAACGAATTTGTACATTATTATGAATTTTTCATGTTTATTGGAGTTTCCATAACACATGTATCGGTCGAACACGTGCTTACTCTGTGTTTATGTATACCGTCAATTTGATTGGCTATTATATTTATGGAATACCTGTTTTACAGGTATTCGAATGAACCATTTGACCGATTTTTCTTTTCTAAAGAAATGGGCGTGTCATTGTATGACAGTCAACGTTCTAAAGATAGCTCAAAACGTTCCATTCAAACGGGAAATTTTACCACTTCAATGCGCTTCATTGTACTTGGATTTTTTTATCTGGGGATTCTTTGCGGAATTTGATTGAGATTGCAGGCAATGTGGTTCTAAAGAAGTTAAAAATGTGGATAGGTTATAAATGAGAACAGCCGAGGGTTTTCCTTCACTCAAATTATTAATTGACTAGTATCTCACCATGAAAAAATAGGAATTTACCATGAATAAAATATGATGCTGTGCTGGGTATTGATCAAACAAATTCTTGCATTCATCAATACTATCAGTATACCTTATTGAGTCAATTCTGTACTCATGGGTCCTGAAGCAGGCTACATGTAGCCTAATATAAATTTGGATTACTTGATCAATGCAAGTTTGTAAATATATTTCAGGAAATCTGGAAATATATGCTTCTTGCTTTATTTATATGTATAAGCAATTTAATCTCCCCCCCCCCAAAAAAAAAAATTCACAATTTTATTAAACACTGTATGAAATTTTTTAGCCTTGAAATTGTCCATTTCAGTATAAAATTAACAGGAATCTTGTTTTTGGTTTTAATTGTTAGTTAATTATACATGATACTGTTGGAATTTAATCTGGAAACCCATTTTATACATTCATTATGTGCAATGTGGGACGTGGAGACCGGTCCTTTGGATGAGACCATATAAACCAAGGTACCGTGTCGCAGTTAAGGTGCTGGCACGAAAAACTGATCACTCACTGCTCAATGGCCCAAATTGCCCAGTAAAGGACAAAAATTGTAGCTCTCTATCTGCAAGTGGTGGCGTTGCCATATGAGTCAAAAATTCTCTCGAGAGACGTTAAACTATATAAAATCAATCAATCAAATCATACAAAGTGTGAACATTTGACCAAATATCATCTTTGGCCTCTAAATCATTAAGGGTCTTTCTTAAGAGTCATCACATCAAGATATCTTCTGGAAACCTTTTTTATGCATGTATATGAATTTCTAACCTTTTGATCAAAGTCAAAAAGTTACAAGTTGAAAAAAATTTCATTACACAAATTTTCTAAAGTTTGCAATTGGTATACATGTATAAGATTTTAGAACAATATAATTCAAATATATAGGGGGTTCAGGTAACCCGAAGTACCTATGTAATTGGGCCATTTACACACAATTTATCGATGTTTATAAACGTAATTTTTGCATTATTATTCATATTTATCTAGAAATTAAATATAATGATTTTTTTCTACATTGTTTGAACTTTCGTATGATGTGTGTGTTATGTCATTCTGAAAAGTTTGCATTAAAAATTAATCCGGTCGAAGTTGTGCAAAAATTGGATCCCCTTTGATGCATGGCAGTGTATATTTTTCTTCGCGACGTTGATAGCGTAATTTTGATTGGTTTTCCGGGAGGCGATTTTTAAGGAATTAACGAGATTGACCTATCACAGGAAAGCTTACATTTTGAAGATCAACATTGTTAATGTTGCATCTCAATACAATGTGCAGAAAATTATGTATTTTCGTTTCAAAGGAAAGAGGTCAATTTTACTACAGTAAGTAATCGAAATATTTTTATGCAACATACACTATAAAAAAGCTGAGAAAATTTCCTATCTGCATAATGTGGTTTTGTAATAATTTCGGAAAATAATTCACCCGGATTCCAATCAAAAGTCGTCACCCCGAACAGTTTCTATGTACTTTTAAATTCATGCACACTTTCGTGTCGTAAAACCACAAGAGAAAATAGAAATGTGACATTAAATGATATTAGACTCGACTTATTGGGAAAAAAAATCTATGAAAAATAATATAATTTCCTGCTACCCGTGCATAAACAGGATAAACAGGGTCCTATCTACTAAGGTCACTGATATAAATGTACAAATTTGATTCTGTTGCCAGGATTTCCTCTAGATTCTGAAATACATATAACGTACTGTATAATAACTAGTTCTAATGTGATAAAAGAAAATGTT